ATCACTGATCTATAAAAAAAGAAAACCGAAAACAAAGTTTAGAATAATCATATTTAAAATTTTAATCAAAATTCGGTCTCTTATTATGAAATTGAATATAATTAATGATTTTACAATCATAATAATTTTGAAGCTGGAGGATAGAACTAGCCCGTTCATGTCTAAAAACGACAAAAAATCGCGGTCAGAATGCACCTGGGCATGTGCACGCTCGGATGCAGATGTTGCATTTGGCCGTCATTTATGTCCAGGTGCGGCGTGATGAAGGCTACCAGTTTTGGTACTCGTAAACGTGAGCGGGCTGCTTCTATGTTCCTCTTCATTTTTTTTAACATGCCAGAAAATTTTGTTAAAATAAATAAATAACAAAATAACACGTATGACTACGAGTATATTGCATCAGGCTTTTCTTTTCTTTTTTTCTTTTTTTTAATAGCATAAAAGACTTTTCGAATGACAATGTACTTTTGTCCTTCGGGACATCCGTTAAAATTGGAACGATACAGAGAAGGGTAATTAGCATGGCCCCTGCGCAACAAAATGAAAATGTAAAATAAAATAAAATGACAATATATTTTTCACTGCTTTCAGTAAAAAAAAAAAAAAAAAAAAAAATTGTCTCATCCGTTCCGTACGTGATTGTGAGCATGAATGAGTATCTGCTACTGCACCTCTACCTCTTTCCTCTTTTTTTTTTTTTTTTTTTTACTAATAAACTGATGCGAACAGATACTACCTTCTACCTGGTTCCTCTTCCCTAGGGGCCCGCTGCACTACGCGCTAAGTGTCAACGTTTCGAATGTATCGGGACCTTGCTTGGTCCCGATACATTCAACATGTTGGCGTTTGGCGAGTGGTGCGGCGAGCCAGCCACTTACTTTCATTCCAAACGGCAAGAAGGGATTATCCTTTTTTCTTTTTCTTTATACATATATATATATATATATATATATATATATATATAATATATATATATATATATATATAATATATATATATATATATATATATAACACCTACCGAACGTCTACCGGAGCGCAGAGGACTTCCTTCCCCTGAAGCTAAGCTTTATGATGCTTTTTTTTCTTTTTTTCTTTTTTTCTACTCCGGATTGTCGGTGAGGTCTCCGGCCTCAATTTCGGTCAGCTAATAAAAAATTGATGATTGCGTTGAAAAGAAAAAAAAGAAAAAAGAAAAAAAAGAAAAAAAAAACGACGGAAGAGAGGAAGAGAAACGAAAAAAAAAAAAAGAAGCGCAGGGAGGAGGAGCGGGGGGCAAGTCCCACCAGCAGCGTTAAGCTACCTCAACGCCTGAATCTGGACACTTTTGCGGAGATGTGCAGAAATAGTGTTGACTTTCTTGAACTGCACGTCTCCGCAAACACGTCCAGATTCAGGCGTTGAGGTAGCTCAACGCTGCTAGTGGGACTTGGCCCCGGGGAAAGGGCACGACGAGCAGTCAAACCCTCCATCTCCCAAAATTGTAAAAAAAAACTAGCAAACGAAAAAATAAATGCATTATTTCAAATTTCAGAAAAAAGGTTCAAAAAACGTTTTTTTGGTTTTAAGCAAGCTCTACGAATCAGTCCGCACGTACTCTGCGATTCCCCAGAAAAAAGCTGTAATCACTAGCTGCCTGCACAGAATTTACCAAATGACTTCTGAGGTGGAACTGACGGGCGTGAGTTTACTTACCCTGAAACGATTACTTCGACTGCAAGGCTACCCAGGTAAGTACTTCAATGACAGCCTGAGAAAATTCATACGTACTAAAGCCCCGTCATGGGACAAATGGGGAAAAAAGCTCTGTGGCTGGTAATTTCTAGTACCCTCATCTGCGGGCTGTTCTGATCTGCTGAGCCCCAACCAGATTTCCAGCCACGATTGCTTTTGGATCTACTCGACTCAAAGAGGAGACTTTCCCGGTTTTTTTCTTCAGGGGAAGACTCTTGAGTGTAAAGCGGTTCTTAAACTTCGGCCATTCTTACTGGAATAGAGTTACCGCGTTTTTTCTTGTTTGTCTTTTTGCTAGATCTTTAGTTAAAAAGTTTTTGATTTACAGGCTACAAACAACACCAAGGCGGAAGCTGAGATACTGCGTTTGTCCTTTGTTAGATCTTTAGATATAGGGTTTTGATCTACCGACTACGAATAACTACAGGCCTTACTCGTTTTTGCTGAGTCCTTCCTGGAAACTGACCTATAGATGGCGGGAATACAGAGCCTAGCCCGATTTCTTTTTCCTGAACATGCGGACTACGATCTGAACGTGGGATTTCTGTTTTATTTCTGTTTTATTTCTGTTTTATCTCCGCAGCTTAGGATTTTCACGTAATCCCGCGGATAATTCCGACGCCAAGAACAGTGATACTCCTGCCCTGGACCAGTTTACAAAGTTACCGCGCCTTGAGTACAGGATACGAAAGACACGACAGCGTAACTCGTTTTTTGGGAGTACTGCCTGTAGACTGACCTCAGCTTTCCGTATTTTTTCGCGCCAAGAAGGAGAACTTACCTC